GCAGCGTGCTGACCAACCCGCTGGGCGCGGCCATGGACGCCACGATGAATCTGAACAGGGAGCTGTCGGACCTCCGCTCGGCCGCCGCGGCCGGCGAGCTGGCTGCCCTCGCGCGCCGCGGCAGCGGGGAGGCGCCGGAGCGGCGCGGCAGCGCGGAGCAGCGCGGGAGCGGCAGCCTGGACCGGCGGGGGAGCGGGGAGCAGCGCGGCAGCCGCGAGAGCAGGCAGTGATGTGGGCGGAGTCGAGAGAGAAGGGCAGGGCTCGTGTGTCGCGGCCGTGGCGTTTCGTGTCATTGCGCGGCGTTGCGCGGCGGCTTTGGCAGAGAGCGGTGGCAGGGGTCTGGCGCGATCCATATTTCTTGATGTGTCGCAGCGCCGCTTGGCCCTGCGCGGGAGGGGAGCGCCACACGCGCTCGTCAGGCGCGGTGGCAAGGAAAATGAAAGGAATGCACCCGCGATGGCGGCAGCCGCGACGGCGGCAGCCGCGACGGCGCACGGCACCCTGCCGTGCCTGGCAGCGCGGCGGCGACGTTGTCGTCAGTCGCCAGCTTATATGAACCACCACACATAGTGCGATTGTAGCCGCGGCCAGACTGTTTTCCATTTCTACCCCGCTCGCCCTCCCTTTTTGGTGCCGTGCGCCTGGTCAGCTGCAATCATGGCTGCGGCGGCGCCCGGCCGAGGGTTGATTGGCGCCTGTTGAGCGATGATGACGCGATGAGTCACAATCTTTGCCGTCACAATTCTTGCTGGACACATTTGCAAGGACGCATTTGCAAGGAGACAAGGACTCTAGCCGGGTTGTATCTGCCAATGCAAACGCAATGCACAAAGGCTGCAATGATGCGATGAGCCGGGACCGTTGTCATTGATGCAACCACCCATTTGTGCTCTGCGCCCTATGAGGTGCGACTGCTAAGCATGCCGTTGGCATTTGTGGGCCTGCCTCAGTTGCTTGGCTGCAGGAAAGGCTGGTGTTTTTTTTTGGCCCTAGCTTGCCGCAGCACCGGCCTGTGCCAGACGGTGCCTGAGGCGTGATTAAAACCACCCATTGTAACGAGGAAGCTTTGCAGCTGTTCTGGCTTGGCGAGAGGATGCATGTTGGGGTGTGGGGCAGTGCGCTCTTTGAGGCTCACCCCTCCCCCCCCTTCTACTGTTGCGTGGGAACTTCACCTTGGCTGCCGAGCAGCTCGACCCTCTCATCTACTGTACCCAGGTTCGCCCTGCAGTGATGTCAGCAAATGCCTGTGGTGGCCCAAACCCATGAAGGCTGCCTTAGCACGTGTAAATGTTGGCATGCGAGCATTTCTGCTGGTTTGTGCATGGCAGGCAGCAGGATGCTGCCGCGTACCGTAGCTTCTGTTCGTCACCTGGTGACGCCTTCACAGTTGTCGGTGCGCGCCTTGCAAGCTTGGTCGACCACAATTATACAGTATGTGCGGGCAGGGATACCCCACTCGCTTTGTGCACTCTGCTGCTTGCCGCACTTGTTCCTTCGGATCCCCGGTGAGACGGTGACGGCCGACTACGACTCCAAGGTAGTTGAGGTATCCTTTTATGTGCGCAATGGATCGACGAATCTATCAAAATTTCCAGGACCGTCGTCAGTTGCTGTGATCTGCGGTTGCACGATGAAGGAGCTCACAATTTTCGTAACGGGTGGCAGCGGCTATCTTGGCAGCCACCTGATCGCGCACCTGCAGCACGAGGGCGGCTACAGGATCGGCTACTCATTCCTGACAAACGACGTGCCGCCTGGGACGTTTGGCGATGCGCACGGGTGCCGCGTCGACCTTGCGACTGGAGAGGGCCTCGACAGCGCCTTTGAGGTGTGCCGCATGCAGCGATTGCCCGCGGCTCGCCCCCATGTGATCGCCCGCGCGCCAGGTGCATGGCCACTCGACGGTTGCAGGCGTCCAGCTGCAGGGGCGGTAGCGACCCGCGCGCCGGCTGGGCGTGTCGCGCGGCACGTGCGTAACTGTGCTCAGCTCACACAGTTGCCAGGCCGCACACTCAAGCACTTGTGCAAACCGATGTTAATCGACTGCCTGCCAGCACTCGCGAGTGCGTGCACACACGCGTACACATGCCCAAACACACACACACACACACACACACACACATGCCCCCCCCCACACACACACACATACACACACGCACGCATGCACGCGCGCGCGCGCGCCAGGCGCTCGGCCCCGTCGACGTCGTCGTCAACACCGCCGCCATCTCCCAGCCCGCGCTGTGCGAGAAGGACTATGCGCGCGCGCGCGCCGCCAACGTGCCCGAGAAGCTGCTCGACGCCCTGGAGCGGCAGAGGCGGGCCAGTGGCGTGGAGGCCCTCCTAGTGCACATATCCACAGACCAGGTGCGACGACAGGGGCGGCGCCGCGCCGCGCAGCCGAGCCCAGCCCGGGAAGCTGCAAGGCGCCTTGCATGAAGCTGCTGCCGCCGCCACGCACGGGCGACGGGCGCGGCCACGCTCGCTCCCCTACTGCCGCAGCAATCAGGAACCGCAGGGATGCGGGACCCCCTGCCACCTTTTTGGCACGAAGCAGGCCGTACAGCGGCGATGCATCCCCCGTCCTGCCAAGCGCTAGCCAGCCGCGTGCCCGCACCCTCGCCAAACCCGCCACGCCGCTCACCAGCCAACCCGCCCCTTCAACGTCCGCGAGCAGGTCTACGAGGGCAGCCGCGCCCACTGGTCCGAGGCCGACCCCACTGCCCCGGTCAACGCCTATGGCCGCAGCAAGCTTGAGGCAGAGGAAATCATCCGCGCCCGCTGGCCGCGCGCCGTAGTGCTGCGGGCCAGCCTCATCTATGGGCCGCAGCCGCCGTTCCCCGTGGGGCGCCCGCTGTTCGTGCAGTTTGTGGAGGATTCGCTGCGGCAGGGCAAGCCCACAAAGTTTTTTGCAGACGAGTTCAGGTGGGCTCTGGTGCGACAGCCTGAGCGGCAGGCGTTTAGGATGCTCGAAGCTTGTGGAGGGGGTCTATGGGTACATTTGCTAAGCAGTAGTTTATAGCTAATCAACCATTCAGACTCTCGTAAGTATTTGCTTTTTGACCCCTCATTTGGTCTGAACGGCGGCATGGCCGCCAGCCGGCAGCTGCTCGGCAGCTGGCCGCCTCGTGCCTGGCGGCGTCGCGCTGAGGAGCTGGTAGGACTGCCACCCCAGCCGCGCGCACACCGCGATGGCGCTTGTTCCGCTCGCCGTTCCAAACGCGCTCCCCCGCGGCTTTGGTCCCCACTGCCGCAGGTGCCCCGTCTTTGTGTTCGACATTTGTCGCGTCGTCGCCCACCTCGCCCGCCTGCCGCCGGGCGCGCCCGCCCACAACACCTACAACCTCGGCGGCCCCGACCGCATGAGCCGCGTCGACATGGCGGTGGCGGTGGCGCGGCACTTTGGCTATGATCTGGGCGCCATCGTCTCCATACCCAGCGCCGAGGCCGGCGACAGGTGCGGGGCCGCGGCTCTTCGGCTTCCAGCACACGCATGGGGGCCAGCGGGTGCCCGACTGGACTGTCACCACCTCCAGGCAGCCAGTGCCTGCCCCTCTGTTGGAAGCAACTGCAACCGATCGAGAAGACGGCGATGGCAAACCTCGGCTTGCACAACTCGCGCTCTGCACCCTGTTCCCCACTCGCCGCCACCAACCGCCGCCACGCCGCCACCGCCCTGCCGCCCCACCCCTCACAGGGGCTACCAGAGCCCCCCAGACATATCGATGGTGATGGACCGCCTCAGGCAGGACCTGCCCTCCATCACGCTGACGTCATTCGCACAGGGCCTGGCCCTCATCTTCCCAAACCCCCCGAAGCAGTAGTCAGGCGGGCGCATCAGCCCTTCTTGCGTAAACCCTGGCACTGATGGTTAGAATTGCTCCAATAATTCTTCCTGGTCGCATGATTGTCTTGTGGACTTTGTTCAGTCTTTTGCCATTAGACCCCAGGTGTTGGTGTCTTTCGTCTTCTCAGGAGGGGATCCCTGTGCCCTTGGTCGTGGGCGCCACCAGCATACCTTGCATGCTCAACGCGCCCTTTCCTGCCCGTTGACAAGACGGGCGGTGCTTGGGCAGCATCACTGTGCTAGCGTGCAGGTTGCAGCTCAGAGAGAACCAAACTTTGGAAACTCATTGAGACTACCAGCAGCGTAATTGATGCGTCGGTGGGCCTGGTGCAATAGTCACTTGCGGGCGGGGCTCTGTCGGCTCAGCAGTCCGTTTTCGCGGGGCGCAGGGCGGCTGCATAGCAAGGGCATGGCCCCCAAAAGTAACCACAGTATGTGCCCCTTAACCGTCCAACGACAAAGTCTTGCCTTTGGGGCGCGCGTGACAACATGTATGGAGTCAGGCAGTTCATCTTTGCTGCCGTGGCATCCAGATGTGGCACCATCATGATCCTGCAGTTGGACTGCGGCTGACCAGAAGGTCTGAGAGGCTGGCCCAAGTCTCCATGCAGCAGCCCGGCCAGAATGGGAGAGCAGCGAGGCCAGCACCACACCACACGCACTGGATACCCCCCTTGAGGGCGCCTGGCCGTGGCTGAATCTGGCTCGGGTGCAACAGGGTGCGGTGCTCGGTGCGCGCCTGAAGGAGGATGGGCACCGATGGGTGACCCCTTGGCAACAGAGCAGTATACGCCAGGCCGTGCCCCGACACATACCTGTTACCAACAGCACCTCACACGTCAGAATGCTGACGGCCTGACTGAACGTGGCGCGTCGCTCTCGAGCTGAGCATCACGACCTGGCCGGCGTTTGTACTGCAGCGCGCTGTGGCACCTTGACAACGCTGTGCACCTGTACATAATGATGAGTCGTTTTCAGACCTTGCACATCAGGCGCTGCGGTCACCGCTCTGGCCCCATCAAAATAGACTCGTCTCCCCCTCCACTGCTGGCTGGTTGTTTGCTCGGGAAGCATTCAGACGACAAAAGATGAGGGCAACACAATTACACAGGGTTGTGTGTGCGAGGTCAAATTCGAAAACGCGAGGGAAGGCGGCGCATCGCGCATCGCCCATTCCTGTCCCTGCACAACAGCGCTGCTGCCAACAAACAAGCTGCGGCCGCACCCCCTGAAACGCCGCTTCCGCCCTCGCGTCGGCACCGAGCCAGGGGCCGTCGTCGCGACGGCCGCCCCGGCCGTGTCGCCCGCGTGCGTCGGCGCGTGTGCATGCGTGGCGGGCGCGTGCGTGCGCGCTATGCATGTGCTCAGTTGATGGCGATGTGCCTGTAGTTCTCGCCCGCGTAGACCGCCGCGTCCCCGAGCTCCTGCAGTGGTGAGGGTAGCAATGGGTGGGGTTGAGGGGTGGGGAGTGGGGCCGGGAAGAGGGGGGAGGGGTCCAGGAGAGGGGCCTTGAGGCTGCCAGACAGTGCGCAAGCGCGCGTGCATCACCGGCAGGGGTCGAGCCGGCGCGCAGCCAGGACGCCAGCGCGCGACCGCCCGCATGCAGCTGGAGCGGGATGCAGTCCCCGGACAGCCAAGCACTGTGCAAGGACGCACCGGCTACCAAGGCGCGGCCTGCCGCCAGGACAAGCATGCCTGTACAATGCTGGCGTCACCGGCAACCATAAAACCAAACCCCAGGCCCCGCATGTAACCCCCGTTTCGGCGGAAGCATCCCTTGTTCTGCCCTCGAAAAGCGCGCGCACCTCCTCGATGCGCAGCAGCTGGTTGTACTTGGCCAGGCGCTCCGACCTGCAGGGCGCGCCGGTCTTGATCTGGCCGGTGGACAGGCCCACCGCCAGGTCAGCGATGAAGGTGTCCTCGGTCTCACCAGACCTGCCGGGTTGGTTTGACACCGCATTGGAAGGTCGTGAGCCAGCAAGTAAATAGTAGAGTTTTGCGGGTGGATTGGCTGAGGGACGGGCTGAGGGCTGTTGAGGTACCAGGCGGCCCTCGGGTTCCAGGGCGCCAGGGAACGCCCTGACAACCTTAAACCCTCAACCCTACAGGAACATGCCTCCGAAGCGCGCGGCCGCCGTCGCTGCCCCGTGTGGCAGGCAGGTCTTCAGAGCGTGCCGGCGTGGCCGCCGCTGGCGCCTTCCTCTGTGCCTTGTGGCGCCCTGGCGGCTTTGGAGGGTTTTGAGCCCTCAACCCTGGACTAAGGATTGAACCCTCGAACCCAAAACCCTGCGTCCTTGCAGCCGCACCTGTGAGAGGCCATGACGCCCCAGCCCGCGGCCTTGGCCATCTTGACGGCCTCGATGGACTCGGATATGGACCCGATCTGTTTTTATTTTGGGGGGGGGGGGAGGTGGGGTTGGATGGTGGATGGTTGGGGAGGGAAGAGATGCGGCACGTGTCGCAGGGTCGTGGCAGGGCGCAGCGGAGGAAAAACAAGCGTGCGGCTGCTCGGGAGGGTTCAGGCTGCCGCCTTGCCCCCGCAGGGGCGTCGTCGCCGGGACTGTGCGCCCCGGCAACCAACGCCGCCCGGACCGGCGCGGCGGCTCCTTGCGCGGCCCCCCGCTCGTGACGACCCCCCATGATCCGACGCACGGCAGACCCTCGTCACCCAACCCCCCTCACAGGCCCACCTGGTTGATCTTGAGCAGCAGTGCGTTGGAGGCCTTCTGCTCGATGGCGTCCTTGATGCGCTTGGGGTTGGTCACCAGCTGGTCGTCACCCACGATCTGGCACTCGGTCTGTGGGTGCGGCGAGGGTGGTGGGTTTGTTTTTGTGTGTGTGTGTGTGTGTGTGTGTGTGTGTGTGTGTGTGTGTGTGTGTGTGTGTGTGCGCGCGCGCGCGTGTATCGTTGTGGGCATGTTGTACTTTTTGTGTTTATGTTGCGCGAGTTGTATGTGTGTGTGTGTAGTGGGTATGGGATGAGCACGCCAGGTGGAGGCTGCGTCTACGGGCTTGGGTGTCGTCGGGCAAAGCGGCGCGGCAGCGAAGCAGGTGTGGGGTTGCAGCGTTCATCGTCACAACCGCTTCGTGCCGCGCTGCAATGCCCCTTGCAGTCACACCGGCCGCCACTGCGGGGCAGCCGGCCGCCTCCCGCCCCGCCCCGCCCAGCCCTGCCGCCTGCTACTCCACGCCCCCTGCCGCCGCCGCTGCAGCAGAGTCCGCAGCCGCCCGGGCCTCCTCACACAATCTCAGCCTCCTGATACCCGTGCCGTCGACTTCCCGCCAGCAGAACCCCCAGTGCCCAAAACCCCAGGGCCCCGACACACCGACCCCCTCCCTGCACCTCAAGAACACATCACCGG